ATGGTTTTGGTAATATCTTCAGGCACGAAGGGTCAAGTTCCCAAGCATCCGGAAGTGCACCCTGGGCGGTTCAACACGGTTGGAGCCATGGGGCGGTCGTGGTCGAATCAATCAACAATGTTTCTCCTGTCGCCTTGTCCCTCGGGAAAGTGTTCTGTTGAGGTGCCGGCCTGGCCTCACAGTGCAGAGTTGGTTTGTTGCGGGGATCCCTCGGAATTGTCGTGGCTTCTACTGTGGCCCGTTCTGCACGGAAGGTTGTGGTGCTCGGTGAACCCTTCATGGGCGTAGCCGCAGCACCATGGGTCAAGTTCCCAATCATCCGGAAGTGCACCCTGGGCTGTTCAACACGGTTGGAGCCATGGGGCGGACGTGGTCGAATCAATCAGCAATGTTTCTCCTGTCGCCTTGTCCCTCGGAAAAGTGTTCTGTCGAGGTGCCGGCCTGGCCTCACAGTGCAGGGTTGGTTTGTTGCGGGGATCCCTCGGAATTGTCGTTGCTTCTACCGAGGCCCGTTGTTCACGGAAGGTTGTGGTGCTCGGTGAACCCTTCTTGGGCGTATCCGCAGCACCATGCATGGGTCAAGTTCCCAAGCATCCGGAAGTGCACCCTGGGCTGTTCAACACGGTTGGAGCCATGGGGCGGTCGTGGTCGAATCAATCAGCAATGTTTCTCCTGTCGCCTTGTCCCTCGGGAAAGTGTTCTGTTGAGGTGCCGGCCTGGCCTCACAGTGCAGAGTTGGTTTGTTGCGGGGATCCCTCGGAATTGTCGTGCCTTCTACTGTGGCACGTTCTGCACGGAAGGTTGTGGTGCTCGGTGAACCCTTCATGGGCATATATGCAGAGCACGAAGGGGCGTAAGTCCCATAATCTGGTAGTGTGTTGTGGGTGGTTCCCATGGCGGAAGCGAGGGTCTTGATTGTGGCCTCTCAGTGCAGGTTTGGTTAAAGATAAGGGCATGTGACACTGTGTTGCTTGTTGGCTTGTGACTCTTAGAAGTGTGTTGGGGGGTCTGATCTGGCTCACCCTTCAGAGTTTAGGAATTCACGCAGTCCCTTATTCATGTGTTGCATCTGGAATCACTTGCCTCATCAAGATTGATATCTTGAATTTTTGGTTTTCCACTTTGCTCTTCGAGGGTTGTGGATCCGCAACTTGTGTGTGCGATTAGTCGAATTGGTGCAAAGTCCACGATACACACATAGTCCCTTATTCATGTGGTGCGTGGCCTAGCCTATGGCACACTCACCCAAGCCATGGCACGTGTGTCCGTCAGGGCATCATGGATTGTGCCGCACGTCGGTTGAAAATCATTTGAGGTAAATGCCTCGACCTTACATGGACGTAACTCTGGGAAATGTTTATGAATAATATTCCTGGAACTCCTGCAATAGAACAGCTCAAGAAACATGGTCCACACCCATTTTCTAATTTTCGGGAATGACATAAAGCTCGTCGGCTAGGAAAATCATGAAAAAGTATCGGCTCGGAGAAAAATCGTGAAACTTTGTGGACCACTTGCTCCCACTTTTTATAAGCACTTGTGCTAAAAATCAGGTCAAACTTCGACCCGTAGCCTCAAAAAAACCGAGTATGTCTCCCCAGAAAAAAGGATGTCCGGTGCTGGAGAGCGGGTTTTTGCATATTAGCCTACTATAGGGGGGAGCTGCCTGCCTGCCCACGCACCTTGGTGGGTCAGGATGGCGTGCCATGGGGCTCCCTCCCAGCGCCCCAGCAAGCTTTCCCAAGCATGCTGGTGCGTTTTTCCATGGCGATGTGGGAAATTCGACCGAGTCAAAAATAGTCCATGCCGAATCCAGGTCGTACGTGTCCCGGTTCTGGCTGGTCCAACGGAAAAATGTGGGCATCTCGTAGTGAGCTTATCCGGCACCATGACACATTTGGCGTGCAGCAAGTTCTTTGCTTGTTCCTCAAGGTCCAAGTCAAAAATCTTGATGCCTTCGTCCCTTTGGTCGAGGTGCCGGTCTGGCATCACAGTGGGTAGTTGCGGCCATCCCTCGGACGTGCCGAGGCATCCAGTGTGACCCGTTCCGCACGGAAGGTTGTGGCGCTAGGTGAAGCCTCCACGGGCATATCCTTAGCACGAAGGGGCAAGTTCCCAATCATCCGGAAGTGCACCATGGGCGGTTCATCATGGTTGATGCCAAGGTGCGGCCGTGTTTGACGCAACCAACAACGTCTCTCCTGTCGCCTTGTCCCTCGGAAAAGTGTGCTCTGTTGAGGTGCCGGCCTGGCCTCGCAGTGCCGAGATGGGTAGCTGTTGGCATCCCTCGGACGCGCCGAGGCTTCTAGTGTGACCCGTTCTGCACGGAAGGATGTGGGTCTACGCGTTCCCTTCAGTGGCATATCCGTAGCACTGAGGGGCAAGTTCCCAAACATCCGGAAGTGCACTCTGTGGGGGTTCAACACGGTCGAAGCCAAGGCACGGCCATGGTTGAAGCAATCAACAACTCGTCTCCTGTTGCCTCGTCCCTCGGAAAAGT